ATTCTATAACATCGATCAAGAAATGGTTAGATATTCTAGTCTTCTCGAATAGGGATGAATAAATGGAGGTCCCGTCTCCTGCATCTATTTATTAGTTAATTTGGTTAGGCAGGGGACGTGATGTGGTCGGCCTGGTTATTGGGAATTGGGGGGAGGGGGCGTCTGGTTATATTCGCCTTCATTTGATTGTAAACTGCTTAGCAGTCTGGTAAAAGTCCCCCGCACAGTGTTATAAAGCGCCATTAGTTCAAAATATGAGCGCTATCATTGAAATACAAGTTATTATTATTATTATTATTATTATGATTATTATTATTATTATATTACTACTATTCCTGCTAATGTGATTAATATGACCTGTTGTCTGTTTCATTCAGACCCAGTTGGGTTTCACTGTTTCGAAAGGACATGGGTACCCCTGGAAAGGAAATCTTGTTACCGTCTGACCCCACCCCAAAGGCAAACACTGGCTACTCAAAGATAAAAATCTAAGTGTTGGGTCTTGTAAGCTCTTGTGCATATCCTGAACTGACTCACATAAAAATTTCACTAAAAACCAGTGAAACATATACAGTGCTTGAAGACAGACCACTTACTTCACTTCCAAATCCTTTCATCTCCAAAAGGTTTCACTCCAAGAAAAATTGAGATTATGCGCTCAAACTTAGGGGTAAAGATAACGAAAAGTCTTGGTATATTTCAAAGAGGCAAGCCCCGTGCAAGCTGCATTAGAAATTTGAACGCAGGTCGCTTAAGAAAGGCTTTTTAAAGACGTAATAGAGCAATTTTCCATCGGGCGTCGAAAGCAATCCGGGATTTTTTGTATTTGCTTTACTTCGCTCCTTGATTGGCCAAGAAAAATCGCGCCATCCTCTAAACCACTGAGATGCAAAACTAAAGCCATGCACGACGCAGTCGCTCGCGTTTTACGCTCGCTTTAGGTGGTATGATCAATTTTACTTTGAGTACCAGTTGATGTTTTCCTTTCATCCGTTGTGCTTATTTTGGTTTGGTTTTATGACACTCAGCACTCTTTAAAGAAACATTTGGTCGCTTAAGAGGCCTTCAAAAGTTGACTGTATTTAGCTAATAGCTGCATTTGCTTCGCCGCTTAACATGATCAATTGTATTAAAATTAAAGACACCTTCAGAATCGATAGTTTTGCTAACAAGACGAAGCCTCCGGTGAATCTTAAACACTTTTTTCACAATCACTATTTTATCCCGACTGAAAGAATCAATCCAGTTTTAGTTTGTCTGGAATTTCGCCTAATCATGTAGAGTCTTTCAGACTTTTTTTTAGTGCATGGTTGGTTTGATAAACAGTATTTAAGGCTGGGAGCTTTCATATCTTACCTCGTTGACGCCAAGGTAACCGACAAACCAAATGCCCAAATACTTCATTCTTCCACAATGCCATTGTATCAATTTTAAAATGAATGCATTTCAGGGAATGTGCGAACAAATTCATTTATTTTTGTTCAGCTTTGGAGAAAGAAAACTGCGTCCGGCTTGTCGCGAAATAGAAAACCTGACCAGAGTAAACAATCTTTCATACATTGTGAAAACTCATTTAATTTTTTTATCGAAATATGTTTCTCAAAATATGAATCTACAAGGGCCTGTTCACAAAGCAGGGTTTGCTTCTCTGCGAAGGTAGTCCTTCCTTGCGGCACATTTGAATCTTGTTCGAAGGAGCATACCAGCTTGCATTCTGCCTGTACATGTTAAAACTGTGATCCTATATCCATTTTCACGATAAGTGAAACTTGGTTTAACGAGAGAAGCGACTTTTTTGTCAAATTCTGTTCAGAATTTAGAAAACTTTTCAATCCAGTGTAATGAAGAATATTCAAAGCTTGACATGCATTAAGCTTGATACTCTTCTCTCATTTGGAGTCATATAAATTTCACAGGGCTTTCGAAGGCGGATGGCTTTGTTTATGTTTAAGTGAATATGGTATTTACATATTGATTTCCATACAGTCTGAGTGGTGTAAGGGAGGACTATGGTGTTCAACAATCAAAATAGAGCACTATGGACTACGCGGTACAAATTAACCAATCATATGGCTAGACTGGCATGCAAGATGGCGATTTGATGTAACGCAATCTGATTAACGCATCTGATTGGCTGTGGACCACAATGCCCCTGTACTACCAGTCTGCAAAGTTCTGTTGCTGTGACCATCCGCGACACATAAAGACGACACGTCCATGGAAAATTATTCCCGGTCGATGAACTTTATCTTCAGAGGCCTATCAGGAACAGCGAAGAAAGAAAGCTTTGTCCCCATTGGCTCATCGTGATATTCCATAGTGAATCGCTGAATCAACTGAAGCAAACATTACAAAAAAAATCGTTCATTTAATAATAATTCACATCGGTATTCAGTGAGTGTATCGTTATCAAAGAAGAGAAATAAATAAGCTATCGATGACTCAACCTCGTTCACGAAGCGCTTTCCCTTCAAATGTGGAGTGACCGTGATACATTTGTGTTCTGACTGCGAATCTTATCTTATTTTTCTTCTCCTTCGAACTACGCTTTTTTTCACGCTTACCTTTGCTGTAAGGAGATATATCTCGGCTTCTGCAATGCGACGCCCTGTAAAGAAACCAGATAGGCGATTGTACGAAAAAACGACAACGAAAAAGGTACACGTTAAAGAAGGTTTGAACTCCCAGAGAGAACATGAAAGAATTCAGTCTGGGTTCTCCCTCCCCCAAATACATCACCAACGCTAGTCTTCACGTTTTTATTTTACTGGAGAGCAGAATAAAAGTTTAGAATACACGAGCACATCCATAATCGTTCTACTCATTAAACCCTCAGTTTGGTTGCGCTCCTGTGGTGTGGTCTGTTAAGCTGGAGACAATTTTCCAAACTAGGGTCATGTATGGAGAAGTCTCACCTATACACATCCGACTTCCAACTCCAAAAGGCAGAGTGGCAAATGGATGAATCTTTCCCAGATCGTCGCTTAACCAACGTTCCGGTCTAAAATCCAAAGGAAACTTAAACAACTCTTCAGAACGCCCAGAAAGGTAGTTGAAATAGATGACCATGGTCTGAATAAAAGACAGCGTGAAACACAATCAGTTGTTTAAGCTCAAGGAATGAGCTCAGCTGAGCGAGAAGGGATGTTCTGGGGTACTTCCTAGGAAAAGTGATAATATAAAATGATAAAGCGACCTGTCTCCCCCCTCCCCCTGCCCCCGCCCGAGCTACTGGGACTCAAGAGTCAAATTCTCAGCCTACAAATCCTGCTTTTATCCTAAATGTTAAAAAGATGATCTTTCCTTAGACACTTAAAGTTTTCTCCTCCATTGTGATTCTTTTTTGCTATATTCAGGGGAAAAGAAACGATGCCGAAGGCGATTGGAAGAAGGCCCGGTTGCTTTTCCCATAGTCCCCGTCACTCACAGCCTTTCTTTAAGCACTTACCCCTGCAGGAACCAAATAGCCGGATAAAAGAAGATCCTGTGTCAGAACACGTGCCCAGCTGTGTGCAGCAGGATGCAATCTGATAAAACAATTTGAAGCCTTGGTTCGCATCGTATGGATTCAGTTTGAACTGGTAATGGGACGAGGAGCCTTCAACGCTCTTTCTGTTGGCTCATGTCAAAAGTACCTCTTACAATCAAACAACAACAATACTTCTACCTCATGCTTTCTTTGACACAAGCCTTGATGTACTCCAACTTTGCAAAGCTCTCGGGGGTAAAATCTCCATGGGGCCCAACCAGGGAGGTTACTTCTTCGTACACCTTTTCTTGCACCCTCGGATTACGGGCCAGATCGTAAAGGACCCAAAGCAATCCATTTGTCGTCTTTAAAGAAAAAGTGGATAAACGTCATTTGGGCAGATATTCAGAGGTGGAAATAAGTTTCCTACAATTTATGACCGGTCGAACTGACGTTTCTACTTTCTAGAAAGAGGCAATTGCTTTGCAACTTACCGTTTCGACACCCGCCCTAAACATAAAAATAGAATTGACGCTGATTTCCTTGGGCGTGAGGTCACCCTTCGTAATGAGATAAGACAGCATAGAAACAGCTACAATAAAGAAAAGAAGAGTGGTAATTTTACCTGTGACTTGTGCAAGAGATTACAAACTGTTTATAATCTTCTTACACAGAAGAGTCGTTTTCCTCGGCACTGCCGACACAGCAGTAACAAACAAGAACACAAGCCACTGAGTTACGGTGTTTTAGAAGCGTAAAAAAAAAAATTGGTAAAGTTCAAAATAGAATGGTTAGTCAACAAGGTACCCGTACTTGAATAGGCTTTATGTCTTAAAAGTCTCAAGTTTTTCTTTACCTTACTTTTTTTTTCGTTTACACACTTCTATATGAATGTTTCAATTATTTTTCGCCTATTTTGTCGAACCGCAGTTGTTTGTTATTTCACTCTCTGAAATTTTGCGCGGGAAATTGGCACACGGGCGGCCAATGATCCTCTCGCACATGCATGACGTTTGACCGCTTTGCCATTGTTCCATTTTTACTATACAAAACAATGATATATAACCGCTGAAAGCGTGTAACGCACCCTTTCTGATAAGTCACCAAGAGGAATGAGGGGGGAAGGAAGGGTGGGGTATATATTCGCATATGTTACCTTGATTTTCAGAAAACTGTTCACCCTCTTCTGCCATTTTGTTCAGTTCTTTAACCTTTCTGTCAATTATCTCTTGGCTGACGGAAAATGTGATGTCTTGAGTTTCGACAAATTTTCTGTAGGATTGTGTCTTCATAAATCTATAAAGAAGTGCTTCCCATCCACGGTTCAGTTTTCCCAAGAGTGCAAAACCATCAAAGACCGCTCTAATCATTTTCAGCATTTTTTCAGTTTCTTTGCTTGGTGGCTCATCATACAATCCCACTCTTACATCAAATGCCATCGTTCCTATAGCTTAAACAAGAACGGAACTGTTTGGGCAAAAACGACGAGTACGCTAAGATGACTGAAAATGAGATCATAAGGAGTGACTTTGCAAAGAAAGGAGTTCAGCTTATTTTTTCTTGTGGTGAATTGCTCTCATTGCTCTCTTTACGTTTATGTGTGGATACTCTATTAAAATTAATAGTGATTAATAATGATATCATAATAATGATTTAGCAGTGGACAATCCACGAGGTGGCTCTTCCTGTCCATCCACTGTTTCCAGGTCGAATTGGAATTTGAAATGTTGGTTTTTTTTGCGAAAGGAGAAAAACCGGATGACCCAGAGAAAAAACCTCGTAGCAAGGACAAGAACCAACAACAAACTCAACCCACATGTAACGTCAGGTCCGGGAATCGAACCCAGGCCACAGTGGTGGGAGTTGAGCGCTCTCACCATTGCGCAAGTGACATCAGATCAAAGTATTCTCTCCCTCTAGAACATTCCAAACAGTTACATATAGTACTAACTGGGTTGCGTGATTGATGCAAGCAGACAACGTAGCTCTACAAATGCAAATCGATTTGGAGAAATCAAATTCATAACTTACATTCAGTGGCATACTTTGAAAGTTCCCCCTCAAGATCTGGAATCTCGTCGCCAATCCCTCGCAATGAAGCCATATGTGCTATGGCATCCCGTACGACTCCATTGAAATTGTCCAGGTTATCTCGTATTCCTTTAGGACGCAGCATCTTGGGTGCTAAGGCTTTGCGCAGTCGACTCCACTTCTCGCCCTGTCTGATAATTAAGAAAGCCAGATAATTGGAGATAGTTCAGGGTTCGTCTTCTTCAAAATACAAACATAATGAACGACTTTAGGAATTTCCTATATGGAATAAGGTGCTCGTATGTCCTGAGGCCATATAGAGACGCCCCACGATTATGGATGAAGATTGTGGCTGCAATGGCGACGGCAGCGATTATAACAAACGTTAGGATGATGTTGTGAGTGATAATAATTTGTCCTATGATCACCGGGTAAATACCCTTGTTGCGTGCACTTGTTAAGCGGCCTATTACTAAATATTTAGTCTATTAGCTATGATTAAAACCTGGATCATTGGATAATGCAATTCAAGACTTTTTATTGGCTTAGCCATTGTGGTATATGAGCCAATATACCATAATCTACTATCTGTACATTGTAACATCCGGTTTCTTCTTACAAAATAAAGTCCAGAAGATTTGTCTACTATCTTGGGGGCGTTTTCAATAAAACAATTATTCCACTCGCGCTTGTTGGATATGAGATGATTATAGCCAACTCGGCGCTACGCGCCTCGTTGGCTATCATCTCAT